GCTTGTGAGAGTGTTCATGAGATGAAAGTTAAAAAAAACTTATCAAGGTTGTCACAAGGCCTATCACTCTTGTGACCAGCCTCGTGACGTGCCTAATCCATGGCTATAAATTGGAAAATTTAGTTTCATTTGAGTCATGTTAGGAGTTAGATCATTTTCTTAAACAATACAATAGTTAGTTGAAAATCTAGACATTAGTTCCAATTCTTAGTTCTTAGAACCCTATAACAACAATTTACATTTCAATTTCAATTACAAGCTTTGTTCTTGAATATATGTTTGTTTTCTTAGATCATGTGTGACTAATCTCCCGAGGAATGGGACATGGATGAAGATTATGATTACGAAAATGTGACGACTTTGAATTGGTTGAATATGAGTGATGAAACGTGATGTTAACGATGTTATTTAACATTATTGAGTCCCAATTAGGATATAATTACTGATCTAGGCTGAAGGGGTTAATTAACCTTATTTCACCTTTGAGAAAATGGAAGTATGGATGTCAAGAATAAGATGTTTGATAAAATGTCTCTTAGACACTCATGGGTCATGAGAATGCCCTCGTGTGTCTTAAGAGTGTAGAATTTGGACCCCAATTTTTTAGGTCCAACTCACCACCCTCCTTGCATTGGCCCTTTAGGTCCAACATACCCTATATTCCATACCCATACTCTAATCACTTTATGGACCCGAGCCCAATTCCTACCGATCAACACCAATCGTTATGCTGTGCATCCGTATGCACCATGCATGGTGCATACGGATGCCAAAACGACGTCGTTTTATTAAAAAACGCGCGTCTTCCCTTTAAAAAAAATTCAGGTTCGATTCCCAGCAACAACATTATATTGTTCATTCATTCTGGAATTTTAGTTCATAGATTATGGAATTATAGTTCATTGATTATGGAATGAGTTAATACCCAAAATCGTCCTCGACTATAGTGGTTTTTCTCAATTTCGTCCTAATCGACTTTGGTGACCTAATACCGTCCCAGACTTTTGTGTTTCGCTCAATTTAGTCCCAGACTTTTGTGTTTTTGCTCAATTTAGTCCCTCATTTGTTATTCTGTCCATTTGGTGTTAAATAAATAGACAATTCAGTAATTTTAATATTGGCATCTCTTTACTCATAGACATGTGAACTGCGAAATTCCTTTTTTTTTACGAACTACTCCCAGAATTACTCCTAAAACTGCGAATATAAAATTTGATTTGCAGGTCCGGGAGTAATTCTGGGCATAATTCGTACAAGAAAGAGGAATTTTGCACTTCACAAGTTGAAAGTAAAGAGAGATCAATATTGACGTTACTGAATTGTCCCTTTATTTAACACCAATTTGACGGAATAACAAATGGAGGACTAAATTGAGCGAAACACAAAAGTCTGGGACGATATTAGGTCACCAAAGTCGTTTAGGACGAAATTGAGAAAAACCACTATAGTCGAGGACGATTTTGGGTATTAACTCATTATGGAATTATAGTTCATCGATTATGGAATTGTAGTTCATCGATTCTGAAATTTTAGTTTATAGATTATGGAATTTTAGTTCATTCATTCTGGAATTTTTAGCTCATAGATTAGATATGGAATTATAGTTCATCGATTATGGAATGAGTTAATACCCAAAATCGTCCTCGACTATAGTGGTTTTTCTCAATTTCGTCCTAAACGACTTTGGTGACCTAGTATCGTCCCAGACTTTTGTGTTTCGCTCAATTTAGTCCTCCATTTGTTATTCCGTCAAATTGGTGTTAAATTTAGGGACAATTCAGTAATGTCAATATTGATCTCTCTTTACTTTCAACTTGTGAAGTGCGAAATTCCTCTTTCTTGTACGAATTACACCCAGAATTACTCCCGGACCTGCAAATCAAATTTTATATTTGTAGTTTTAGGAGTAATTCTGGGACTAATTCGTAAAAAAAAGGGATTTCGCAGTTCACATGTCTATGAGTAAAGAGATGCCAATATTAAAATTACTTAATTGTCTATTTATTTAACACCAAATGGATAGAATAACAAATGAGGGACTAAATTGAGCAAAAACACAAAAGTATGGGACGAAATTGAGCGAAACATAAAAGTCTGGGACGATATTAGGTCACCAAAGTCGTTTAGGACGAAATTGAGAAAAACCACTATAGTCGATGACGATTTTGGGTATTAACTCATTATGGAATTATAGTTCATCAATTATGGAATTTTAATTCATATGTTGTTGCTGGGAATCGAACCTGATTTTTTTTTTTTTTAAGGAGAGACGCGCGTTTTATTAAAACGATGTCGTTTTTGCAACCGTATGCATTATGCATGGTGCATACGGATGCACAGCATAATTTGCCGATCAACACCGTGCCTTTGGAAAGTCATTGACTTTGTAGAGATAGTATCAACTATCAAGTACAATCCCAAAGCCTTAATTGACTTTGTAGAGAAGTAGTACCAAGTATAAAAAGTTACCACACCAATCGACATGATAAAAGTTTTCTATATATGTGTGTATGCGTGTTCGTTTTTTGTCTTTTTTTTTTTTTAAAAAAAAAAAAAAATTATCAAATAAGTTATTTTATTAAACACATTTACCCTCAATCAACTAATTTAATAGCTCTTAACTTTCAGTTTTTTTTTTTTTTTTTTTTTTTTAAATTTGCAATTAAGTTTTTAACTAGCTTGTCAAACAAGCCTACGTAAAAATATTGGAATAAGAGTCAAATTGTCCCATTAAGTCAACTGGATAGTGCAATTAAGTCCTCTAAGTAAAAAAAAAAAAAAAAAAAACTTCATTTAATAAAGCGGTAAAATTGTTAAATTAAGTTCAAATTGACTTATTTAACAAGTTAAATCTATATGGTGTTGACACATGCCTTTTTTATTTTATTTTATTTTTTAAGCAATTTTTTTATTTATTAAAAATTAAATATAATATTAAAAAAATAAACAGCCATGGCTGTGGCTGTCCGGCGAGGACAACCACGGTCGTCTGAGGAAGACGGCTACGACCGACGAAGGAAGAAGGCCATGTCCATCTTCTAGATCTGGAACGAGGGGACTAATTTAACATTTTTCCTAAATATATTTGTAAAGGTTGTAGCCATGACTCGCATTAAAACCCGGAGATCAACGACAAGAATCTTTTCCTTTTCCTAGCACTAATCAGTTTTTATGACTTGCATGCCGTCCAACATTTCATTTCATTTTATCGTCTACATTCCATTCACACTCTTATTAAGGCTCTTAATATAAAAAATGACCAAGACCTTATCCACTCTTTTGTTTTATTCTCTCCCTTGCGTGGAGAGCAAGGGTGAGATTAATTTCCTTTTTTAGTAAATTAGTAATTTTAATTTTAATTCATGATTTTTAATGTAAAATGTTAAAGTTCAGTAAAATGTCTTGTATGGAATTAAAAGTTGAGTTATCTCTTATATAGTTATAGGGTATTATTTATTTTTTTAAAAATATTATGCGTCTTAACATTTACATGTTTTTTATACTTTAAAAAATATATCTCGAGTTATTAGAGATATTAAGAAAATTATAATTTGCCAAATGCAAATTATTTTTAAGGCATTATAAAATAAAACAGTATAATATTTCTTATATTTTTGGTAGTTACATTTACATATATACCTTCCAATTCATTCAAAATCTTTTTAAAAATGTTTGATACATTTAGTTGTTCTATTTATTCTATAAAGTTGTGTATTTTATTTATTTTTTTGGGAATACATACTAGGAATAATATTTTAAAATATTGAAATTGAAATTTAAAAAAAAAAACTAATGCTTAATACATATATAGGTCCTGTTTAGTAATATAGTTAATTTATCAGTTAATTTTGATTTATTTGACCATTATTAGTTGTTTGACTTGGTTAAATAACTAATATAAATATGGGAAAATGACACTTTTTCCCGCTGTGTTATATGCTTATAGCACTTTTTTCCCCCTGTGTTATTCATGCATTCACATTTGCCCCCTCAATTATTATAGAAGTGGCGGTTTTTCCCTCTGATAATATTAAATGGACATTTCTACCCTTAAAACAAATGTTTTATTTATTTTCCTTCTTCAACAAATTATTGTTTATACGTAGGGATGACCACGGTTCGGTTCGAACTGAACCAAACACTATAGCAATAAAATTAAAAAATTTCGGTTATGATTCATAACATAACCCAATATTTGAGTTTCCGTTTATTAAAATCGTGAACTGGAAAAAAATGGATCCTGAACCGTGAATCGGAGGTTCAAATCGGAACAACTACTAGCAATAGCTTAAATTATAATTATAATATTTGCAAATAGTGTATGTTTTTTTCCGCATTTATATTGACTCTCACATATAAGTATATATAATCGCGGTTTGAGTTTTATTTTGAACCGTCGGTTCACGATTTTGAATCCAATTTGAACGGTTGGTTCAAACTTTCTTTTAAAATTTTATTTTTTTATTTTTAAAATATTCTAAATTCAACACTTAATGTATTTTATTTTTTCAAATTGTGGTTATAATTTGTTGGAGAAGAAAAATAAATGAAATATTTATTTTAAGGGTAAATATGTCCATTTAATATATCAGGGGGAAAAACTGCCACTTAAATAATTTAGGGAGAAAAAGTGCTATAAGTATATAACAAAGCGGGAAAAAGTGCCATTTTCCCTATAAATATTTGATTAATTAGTTTTTTGTAACAATTTATTACTTCAAAATATTAAAATTAAAAAAACTGTCCGGCTAACAACTAATTTACCAAACTCAAACTCACAAACTCAATTAACTATCAGCTATGAGCTTACTCTTATTTACCAAACAACCCCGTAAAAAGATCAAAACTTGAACCAAAATAATCATGAAAACAGTAAACCAAATAATTGAAGTGTGATAGAGATACATTTTGGAGCTATTTAGTTTGAAACGTGTGATTGACAAAGCAATGCCTCTTGTCCTCTTCCCCTTTTATTACGAACCAAAATTCCACAATCCAAAGAAAGCATTTCTGTTACCTTACCACTGCCAGCTTTTTAAAAAAGAAGCATATGTTTGTCTACCAATAAAACTTCACATCACCCCTTTCACATATTCAATTCAATTCAATTCAATTCAGCTGCTCCCTCTCTCTCTCTATCTCTCTCTCTCTCTCTCTGGTCTTTATCATTTTCAAGCAAATTCAAGTCACACTCCTACCAATCTCTGTTTTGCCTAGTTTGGGACACACCCAGGTGACTAACTAACCTTAAATTCTTGAAGAACCCACAGTGTGCAAGATGCTGTTGAGTCTGATACAAAGCCAAAGGTAGAATCTTTTTACTGTTTTCTCAATGCTTCATGGGGTGTTGTTATAGTTTTGGCCAGGGAGGAGATTTGGGTAGGTAGGTAGGATTGAGTTTTGCCATGTTTTGTTTCTAGATTTCAGCTTAGTTGATTTCAATTTTTGATTCTTGAAACTAGTAGAAAGGGTTAATAGAGGGACTGATTGATTGTTTGTTAACATCTAGCTTAGCACCATTTTCTCTGATTGATCTTGTTTGTTAAGATCAATTGCTTACCACTACGCTAAAAGCTATAGACTTGGACTCCCTCGTGACCTGACTCTGGTACCACTTGTTAGATCCAGTGTTTGTTACTACGCCAAAAGTTATAGCTCGCAGCAATGGTGCAATTGTATTTTGTTATAGACCGTCACATTTTTGAGAGGCAGAGTGCTGGATTTGACCCTTCACCCTAGTCACCAATTGCGACTTGGACTCCTTCATGACTCTGAAACCACTTGTTAGATCAAGCGCTTATTATATGCCAGAAGTTATAGCATGTAGCAAAGGCCCAACTTTATTTTGTTATAGACCGCCACATTTTCGAGAGGCAGTGTGCTGGATTTGGCCCGTTACCGGCCTATGCCTAACAGATATGATATTTTGTATGAAAATGGTTGTCTGTCTTGTATTTATATACATGGCATTTTTAATGGGCAGGTTTGCATGTCCCCTAATCTTGAAGGATGGAGTGGTAATTTGATAGGTACTTAGCTAGTAATTAAGCTGCTGCCAATGGAAAATGGAGTAGAATTTTCATCTCCTTGCATTTCAAATGGGAGCAGTAGTATACCTATAGCTTCCTATGCTGGGCATGATGAGGGGAGCAATAATCTTCAATTGCTGAGTCTGAGTAGACTTAGCAGTGGCCTTGAAAAGCTGTTGATAGATCCCGGTGAATACGAGGACTACAATGATGCTGATATAGAGGTTGAGGGTATTTTGGTGGGGGTAAACCGGGGTATTTTGGCTGCCCGGAGTCAGTTCTTCCACGAAGAGTTTAAGAAAGCGAAGAAAGATTGCGATGGAAAACCGAAGTTTTTGATGACTGAACTGGTGCCCTGTGGTTGGGTAGGCTATGAAGCTTTTATGGTTTTCTTGAATTATGTGTATACTGGAAAGACCAAGGCTTCTCCCCCCGAGGTTTCAACTTGCGTCGATGAATCTTGTGACCATTATGCTTGCCGCCCCGCCATTGATTATGCTGTCCAACTTATGTATGCTTCTGCCACTTTCCAAATTAAAGAACTCGTTATGCTTATTCAGGTCAGCACACACTGCTTTTCATTCTCGTATTGTTATAAACTAAGATTGGGCTAGGGTCACTCAATTGGGCTATAATGCACATGGCCCAAACCAAACTAAAAGGTTGAATTCAATCAATTAGCTAGTCTAACTCATGGCGTTATAAATCCATATGTTCTTTCTTATTTTATCAATGTGAGACTCTTAACAGGTATGCTCAATCGAAGCTGTTTAATTTCTGTTAGCTTATAATGTAATTTGTGCAGCGACACCTTGATTGGCTCGTTGATATTGCTGCCATAGAAGACGTGATTCCAATACTATTGGTGGGCTTTCGCTGCTCTCTCGCCCCACTAGTCGAGCGCTGTGTTCGAAGGGTCACGAGTTCTAATCTAGACAACTTCACTCTCGAGAATGAACTTCCCGGTGCGATCTCGAGTGACATTAAAGCACGGAGACTCAACCAGCAGGGTGCGAATGAGAAGAAGATTCGGAAGATCTTAAGAGCTCTAGACTGCAACGATGTCGAATTGGTTAAATTGCTGCTGGAGGAATCGGATATCACGCTAGACGATGCTTATGCTGTGCATTATGCAGCTGCATATTGTAACTCTAAGGTAGTGAATGAAGTGCTCGGGCTTGGTAAGGTGGATCTGAATCTCCGCAATGCACGAGGGTACACGGTGCTCCACGTGGCTGCACGACGCAAGGATCCCGCGATTATAGTGGCGATACTGGACAAGAGTGGAGCCTCGATTCGAGATGCCACGTGCTCTAATGGCCACACTGCTGTTACGATTTGCAGGAGGTCTACTAGGCCGAAGGATTATAACAAGACAACCGAGGAAGGAGAGGAGAAGAACAATGATAGGCTCTGCATTGATGTTTTGGAGGGAGTGATGATGAACGGGAATCCCGTATCGTTGCCATCATCCACCACGCTCGAGAATGATTTGGTTATGGAGCTTTACTTCCTTGAAAACCGAGGTGCTGTTTACTTCATTTCTTTTAATTTTCTGTCGTGTATTGTGATGGTTAACGCTAAATCTTTGGTTGAATTAGTGGCATTGGCAAGGAGGTTATACCCTCGTGAAGCGAGAATAAACATGGAAATAGCACATGCAGATTCGACCTTAGAATTCGTTGGCCTTTCTGGAATGGAGGGGTTGTGTGGAAATCTCAAAGGGGTTGGTTTGACTGGATTGCCACCTGACCAAGTTAAAAGGCTCATGGAGCGCCGGGAAGCCCTTAAGAAAACCGGTATGTAATACTCTCTCCGTCTCATTTTGTAAAGGTTAATTGTGTTTGGCATAATTTTAAAAAACAACTTGCAAAAGCATAGCTTTTTGAAAAAGACTATTGTTTGCCATGTTTTGCTATCTTGGGCCCTTTAACTTCAAAAGTGCCCACCAACTAATCTCCCAACTATGCAAAATTAACACCTTTGGGGCAACCTTAGCTAAATTGTCCCTTTTTGGCTTGGTAACCGCAAGGTTCCAAATTCGACTTTTAGTGGCAGCGGCCTATTAGTTTTCTTGATTTGAGCTGTCGGCTATGGGCAACCTAGGCTGGTTTACTGATCTTTTGCCAGCTAGGGTCACAAGGCGGAGTTTACACAATGCACACTCTCGGATAGTGGCTGTGGGTTTAGCCACCCTTAATCTCTCATCACCATAATTAAATCCTTGATAGTGGCTACCTTTGCATAGTTCCCTTTGGCACCATTTCTCCTTAGAGTTCATTCTTTCAATTACATAACATACACACTTTCCCTAAACACCTAGATTTCATGCTTCAAAGAATCTATATATATGTTTGCTAGTTTCATCACTACATTTAAAGAAACCGGGATTAAACTAGCTAGCAGAGATATCACTCGTGTCCCGTGATCAATCGCCCTTTGAACTGTGGTCTCGGTTTAATATTGCAACCCTTTTTTGTGTGTTTGATGAATGATGCAGTGGAGTTAGGGCGGCGTTTCTTCCGGAACTGCTCAGACGTATTGGACAAGTTAACAGCAGACGATGTTCTTGATTCTCTTGAATCTCTGGAGAGTGGCACTCCTGAGGAACAAACAAACAAGAAGAGGCGATACATGGAACTTAAGGAGGAAGTGATGAAAGCATTTGACAAAGACATGGCACAGAACCGGGTTGGCTTATCGTCTTGTTCTTCGTCCTCAACTTCACCCAAGATGTCTGCAACATCCAAGGTTAGGAAAAAGATCAAGTGAGATAAGTTTTATTGTTAGGTTTAATTTCCAAGTGTTCTAATATGAGGAGTTTTATAGGATTCTAAATATATACCTAAAGAATTCTTGTGTGTGGGCATGGATGTTATTTAGTTAATTTCACTTTTTGGTGCTAAGGCATACTAACAATTTCAGATTTATTACTTCAATAGGTGCTCAATATTAATACATTATATTAAAATTTTAAATTTATTTAGATTTTAAATATTTAAATTATTCTAAATAATAATAATAATGTAAATCATTTTTATAAATTTGATATTTATATTTTATGTAATAATTAACATATAACTCAAATATATAATGTTTATATATTATTATTAATGAGAAGATAAGAAAATATATGGTGGATGCATGTGCATAGTAACAATACTGGAAAAGATAACGGAGTTATAACGGTACAAAAAAAAACTTAACGGAAAAAACGGACATAAATCAGGGATATAACTATCATTCACACCAGGACTATGTGGTCTAATGGTACCCGGGTTAGACTTTCATTTGGAAGATTATGAATTCAAGCCTCAATGGAGGCGTTATTGGTTCTTTGTGTTTCAGTAGGTTGAGAAAGTATATGAACAGATACTACAATGTAATAGAGCCAGTAACTTTCAAAAAACTATCATTCACACTTATTATGTTTTTATTTATTTAGATATTTAGTTCGCTACTTTATATTAGGAATTTATAGAAATTTATGTAATGGGTTAGTAAAGTTAAATAACATTTGGTGGTGCACTGTCATGAATATATTATCTTAAATTTGATAGGAACTTTATTAATTTTAGTTCTAAAAAAATGTTGATTATTTTGTTTTAATGAACATATTAGAAGTAGGTCCAGGACAAGCCAACCCAAGAGAAGCCTTAACGAATTCCACGAGCCCCAAAGCTCCAATCATTATTGTATGGACCATGGTCTACGCAAGTTGTGTGAACCATATTTTGTCTACTGTAAAATAATATACATTCAGTATAAAAATAATGTATATTCAATACAAAAATAATGTACATTATATTCAGAGGATATACATTATTTTTGTTCTGAGTGTACATTATATTGTATAATGTACATTCAATACAAAAATAATGTACATTTAGTATATAAAAAATGTACTTTTTGTTATGGTCCACATAACATTGTGTGGAGCATGGTCCACACAATAATTTGCCCCAAAGCTGCCCTCCTCAAGGCTCAAGGTCATCCTTGGAGGGGGCCAACCCATGCCCACAGCAATCATTATTGCATGGAACATGGTCTACACAATTGTATAGATCATAAATAAAAAATATATTTTTAATATATTAAGGATACATTATTTATGTACGTAAGATACCTTTTTAAAAAATATATTTTTAATATATTAAGAATACATTATTTTATACAATGTACCTTAACTCCTTCAGTACAAAAATAATGTACTTTTAATATATTAAAAATGTACCTAATATCCATGGTCCATACAATTGTGTAGACCATGGTCCACACAATAATTTGTCTGCCCAGAGGGTTTGGTGAGGGTAAATTATTGTGTGAACCATGAATATTAGGTACATTTTTAATATATTAAAAATATATTATTTTTGTACTGTATATATTATTTTTATATTGAAGGTACATTATATAAAATAATGTACCTTTAATATATCAAAAATTGTACCTTACATACATAAATAATGTATTCTTAATATATTGAAAATGTACTTTTTATTTATGATTCACAGTTTCACACAATTGTGTGGACCGTAGTCCATGTAATAATGATTGTTTGGTGGGTGGGGTGCAACCGTCCGCCCCATGGGAGGCGTCCGATTCGCGTGAGGCAGTTGTAAGGAGAGGTCAACAATAAAAACAAGTCCTTTTGTTCTCATTTAAGACACAACTTTTGTTACTACACTCTTTGTACTCTCATTGAATGATAAAGGCTATATTAAGACTACCTTTACATCCTTTTGCTCTTTAATTAATCAGACTTGGTTAATTTAAGTAACCCAAATTAATTAATTCCATCATATTGTTTTCATGCATAAAAGTTAATCTTTTAGATTTTGATTTGTTTTTGAAAGAGTTAGGCCCTTTTTGGTAAATGGCTATTAGCGGATAGTTGTTAGTAGGGGTGTCAATGCGGGCCGGCCCGCCTCATTAGGTCTGCCCCATCGCGGGCTTTTGCGGGCTGGCCCGCGAAGCCCGCGAGCTTGGAACTATACAGCCCAAGCCCGCCTCATGCGGGCTTGCAGGTCTCGCGGGCTGGCCCGCGGGCCATCACTTAAATTAAAAAAAAAAACATTAAATAGTATATAAACATGTTAAAACCGCTTGAAATATGGCACTGTTTATTGGTCGTTCTTTCGCATCCTCACGGTGTATGATACACCTCAATGCACCGGAAACTTCCATTAAATCCATAAACCTCGCCCAAATCTCCCGAATCGATACCGCGCGTTGAGCAGAACTGTAGAAGGGTGATCAAAGCTAGGGTTCAACAGCACACTCTATTTCTCTCTCGGCTTCAGATTTTTCCTCTACAGTTCCCGTCTGTGTATAATACATATATAAATATGTATGTTTGCTGGACTTGGAGGCGATTTAGTAATTCATAAATATGTATGGATTGATTTAGTTTTAGTAATTGTTTGATAGAGTTGGAAGCGGATGGAGACGGGAGAACCGAAGAACTACGTACTCTAGGAATTATTGAATTAAGAATTGACGAAGGATTATTGAATCATTAGATTTCTTCCCTTCTGTGTACTCTTAGATAGTCAGATCTACACATTGCTTAAGAATTAAGATATTATATATATGGTTTTTTTTTTTATTTAAAAGATATTATATATATAATTTATTTATTTATTTTTTAAATATGGTCTGGCCTGCGGGCCGGCCCGCAACCCGCGCGGATTTGCCCGCGTGGGCTTTGGCTCTCCGCGGGCCATGCCCGTTAGGCCCGTATTTTCGCGAGCCTAATTTCTTGCGGCCCTAACACGCCCCATCAGGGGGCGGGTGCGAGTTAACCCGCGGGCTTCGGCCCACTTTGACACCCCTAGTCCCAGACATCCCGGGAAGTCTGGGACTCGATCGCATCGACGCTCGCCTCCTCCACCCGTGCTCGCTGCTTAAGCCTGCTCGGACAGTTCCAGACCCTGCATTAAGGCCATGGATCTCCGGCCGAGTACCTGGGGCGTTGTCAGATGATCGTGGAAGCCCTATCCCTCGCCGACAGGCCTCTCTCGCTAGACGAGCAGATTCTGTATGTTCTCCGTGGGCTCAGACCGGAGTTCCGTACGATGGCCAACTCCCTCACCGCCTCTGGAGCACCGGTCTCTCTGTCGCAGCTCTCCGACTTCCTCTAGGCACAAGAGCTCATCTACGAAGATGATTTTGCCGTCGCGGACTCCTCAGGTGGCGGCAGCTCTCCGGCGGTGTTCTTCGCTGGACGCGGCAGACACGGCGGCGACCAGTCGCACTCTGGGCGTCACTCCGGTGGACGTGGTAGCCGGTAGAATCGCGACAGGGGGAATCAGGGTCAAGGCCGGCAAGGCCGTGGTGGCGGACCGAGGTGTCAGATTTATAGATCACACGGCCACACGGCTTTGTACTGCTACAAGCGGTACAATGACCGTCCGGCCGGTCACGCCAATGTGGCGGTTTCCGGCGACAATGCGGCGCATGTGGCAGCAGACGTGTGGTACCCGGATACCGAGGCTACGTCTCACGCGACTCCGGACTATCAAATGTTAAGCCACTCCGAAGCCTACACCGGCGGGGATGTTCTTAAAATCGGAAATGTTACAGGTTTGGATGTTTTACGTGTGGGGCATACACTTATCCCATCCGGGTCTAAAAGTTTGTCAATGTCTAAAATTCTACATGTTCCAAATTCAACGTTACCATTATTATCGGTCTATCGTTTTACTAACGAAAATGACGTTTATTTTGAGTTTCACAAAAATTTGTTTCTTGTGAAGGATTGCAACACTCGGGCGGTTCTTCTTAAGGGTTTCACTTCTGGCGGCCTGTACAAGTTATTGGTCCCACAATCTTCGTGTGCCTTTCTTACCGCTCGTGCGTCTTCCGAAGTGTGGCATCAACATTTAGGCCATCCCCATAATCAAGCTCTACAACGTGCCTTAAAACATTGTCCCGTCACTACAAATAAAACCAATTTGTCAAAGTTGTGTACCGCGTGTCAACTCGGGAAATCAGCTCGTTTTCCTTTAGATAGGGTTTCAAGCACTAGTGGTAATGTTTTAGATTTATTGTACACGGACATCTGGGCTCCGTCTCTTGTAATTAGTGCTACTGGCTTTCGTTATTTCGTGCTTTTTGTAGATGACCATTCGCGTTATTGCTGGTTTTACCCATTACGGTTAAAATCAGATATATATAAAATATTTGATGTGTTCCGGGTGATGGTAGAACGACGTTTTTCACATTCTATCAAAGCCATACAGTCTGATTTAGGGGGTGAGTACCGCCGTCTTCATAAAGTCTTCAAAAATCTAGGCATTACACACAGACAATCGTGTGCCTATACCCACGAACAAAACGGGCATGTCGAACGTCGGAATAGACACATAGTCAAAACTGACTTGGCATTGCTCGCTGAAAGTTCAACCCCACAAATATATTGGGATTATGCTTTTGAAACAGCTACGTATTTAATCAATTGCCTACCGTCTTTCGCTATAAACAATGAGAGTCCTCATTATCGTGTCTATAAAACACAACCTCCGTATACCTTTTTTCGTGTATTCGGGTGTCGCTGTTACCCCTATCTTCGGCCTTATAACCGGCACAAGATAGAGTATCGGTCAACACCCTGCGTCTTCCTAGGTTACCTAGTTTCTTTTAGGGGATATCGGTGTATGGACCCTACCACGGGGAAGATCTTTATCTGCCGTCATGTTCGGTTTGATGAGTCTACTTTCCCTTTTGCTTTGCAGTCTCCTGTTCAGACTACTGAGAGTCTAGCTACAACGCCCTGGGGAGCCGGGCCAGTTGTTATCACTACTCAGTCTGCATCACTAGCTGTGGAATTACCTATGGCACAGGAACCAAGCCCATTGGCCATAGCAGCTCCAACGGATACTCATGTTACCCCAGGCCCACCTGCTGGGACTCGTAAGGCACCCCGGGGCCGGGGCAAGCCCCAAGTCCCACATACCATGCGCACTTGGCACAAAACACGTGGCATAGATGAAGAGTTCTATGCTCTTACTGCGTCCGCTGATCCCACCTGCTACTCCCAGGCCGTTGGGCACCCACAGTGGCGGGATGCCATGGACCAGGAGTTCAATGCCCTGTTACACAACAACACCTGGGAACTCACCCCAGCTACACCACATATGAACATCATTGGCTGCAAATGGGGTTTCCGCACCAAGCGCAAAGCCGATGGTTCAGTTGAACGCTATAAAGCGCGGCTGGTCGCCAAAGGGTTCAACCAAGTCGCTGGTGAAGACTTTTTTGACACCTTTAGCCCCGTGGTCAAGCCGACCACTGTTTGCATATTGTTTTCTCTTGCTAGTTCAAACAGGTGGACACTACGGCAACTGGATGTCCACAACGCTTACCTAAATGGGCATCTAGCTGAAACCGTTTATATGAAGCAGCCACCCGGCTACGAGGATCCGGCTCGGCCCAATCATGTCTGTCATTTGCAACGGTCTCTTTACGGGCTAAAGCAAGCACCACGCGCCTGGTTCAAGCGGTTACATGACTTCTTGACTACCACGGGTTTTTTGGCGTCCAAGACGGATGTCTCTCTCTTTCACTACACTTCCGGTGATTCTCGGGTCTTTCTATTGGTCCGGTGATTCTCGGGTCTTTCTATTGGTCTATGTCGACGACATTATAATGATGGATAATGATCCAGGCTTGGTTACCACCTTACTGCATCGTTTGTCCACGACGTTCAAGATTAGGGATCTGGGCCCACCGAGCTTCTTCTTCGGGATCGAGACCCTCACGTCTGGCGACTGTTTTCTTCTCTCTCAACGCCGGTATACGCAAGACATTCTATCTTGCTCTAGCATGACGGATTGCAAGGCCTTGGCTACACCGGCCTTGGTTACACAACCGGCAACTCCGTCAACCGATCCGTTCGAAAATCCCACACAGTACCGTCGGATTGTTGGGGCTCTTCAGTACCTGACTATCACCCGTCCTGATCTTGCCTATTCGGTTAACAGGTTGTGTCAATTCATGCATTCTCCCACAGATGATCATTGGAGTCTACTTAAGCGGGTACTACGGTATATCAAGGGGACTCAAGACTACGGCCTCCGACTCCGCCCGTCAGCATCGTCTGATCTGCATGCCTTCTTTGACTCTGACTGGGCTGGTTGTCCGGTTGATCGGAAGTCCACCAGTGGGTACGCAGTCTTCCTCGGGGACAACCTGGTTTCTCGCAAGCAGCGCACAGTGGCAAGGTCTTAACAGAAGTAGAGTACAAGGGTCTGGCAGATGTTGCAGCCGAGGTCACTTGGGTAGTCTCTTTGCTATGTGAACTTGGGCTACACTCGAGCAAGCCGGCAACGCTCTGGTGTGACGATCTCGGTGCCACATATTTAGCTGCTAATCCAGTATTCCACGCTCGGACGAAGCATGTTGAGATCGACTATCACTTCGTTCGGGACAAGGTCGCGTCTGGGGACTTTATTGTCAGTTTTGTTTCTACGAAGGAGCAGCTTGCAGATATTTTCACCAAACCTCTACCAGGACCACATTTTCAACTACTACGAGACAAGCTCAATGTTGTCACCCTCCAACCTTGTACTTGAGGGGGTGTGTTAGTAATATAATAATGTTTGTAGTTAGTTTATATTATATAGTTTATACTAGTGGTAGAGATTTAGTCTAACTAAATATAGCCTATGGAATAGGAGTGTATTGTATAGGACTCTCACTCTCTCACTGTGTAATCGATTTTTTTTTTGAATGACTGTGTAATCGATTTAGTTTTCAAATTATCGTAATCTCATCGTAATAACTACGAACACATAATGGCCCTCTTTGGTAAAATAGTTGCCCAATTAGCCAATGTTGGCTTAGTTGACCACTATTAACTATTTGATTTAGTTAAACAATGAATGAGTATTTGATTAATTATTTTTTTGTAACAACTTATTTCTCCAAAATGCTAACATCCAAAAAGCTATTCAAAGTAACTTTTTCGATCAGTTTTTTAAGAAAGTCATTTTGTATGTAATCAGATACCGGCTAACAGCTAATTTACCAAACACATTTTTACAAGCCAATACTATCAACTAATCAAACCTAGTACGTAACCCAATTAGCTAACAACTATCAACTAACACCCCTAATATGTTAACTGCAAATACATAATATGTTAACTCTAAATATAAATTAAAGACACATAACATGTTCAGGGACGAAGCCAGAAATTTTGTTGAGAGGGGGCAAAGAAGCAGCAACGGATCCATCAATTTTTTCGAGTGAAGGCGAAACATTAAAACAAAAGAGATAATTTAAAAAAAATTAAATTACCCAAAAAATATAGGTATAAATATTATTGGATATGAGTGAAAAATAAAACACATATAAATTTTATTAGAAATATTTATAACAAAATATGAAACATAATTAATTTAATAAAATAATTTGAATAGAGAACACATTATAAATTACACATCTTATTTTTAATATAAAAGAATGTTATATATATGTGTGTGTATTTTATTAAATATTAAAAAAGCTATTAACAATGTGATTGTATTGAAGTCAAGAGAAATTGTAAAATTGTGACAATGCCAACCAAATGATTCAAACTCTAAATCTTTACTATAACCAAACATGTGCTCTGTCAACTAATATATCTCACTTCTTGTTAATATTTATCTGTTTCTTTATACTAATACTAAAACTTGTACTATATATACATATATACATACAATTATTATATATGGGTCGGGTTGGGTGAGGGGCAACTGCCCCTGCCAACTCCGTCCATGAACATGTTACGACATATTAATTATTACATTTAGGTGAGCTTTCCTATTTTGCATGGTTACGCATCCATCGATTGCAACTATATATTTATAGTAGAGATAGAAGTCGAGCAGAAAGCCTGCAATCGAATACAGAAGAGCCAAGGGATCGAGTCTTACCAGCGACAGTGTGAAAGCAACCTCTTAAAGTAAACGGTTCCTTGTACTAGTGAGTAAAGGTCTAGCCTCTCTGGTTTATGTTCAGTTAAGTTATCATGATTTATATCCTCTCAAACGCTCTGTCGGGTCGGGGTGTGGGGAGCCCTCCTTAGGGTTAGGGTTCAGCGTTTGGAAGAATACAGAAGAGCCAACGAGCTTTAGGATTCTTTAATTAATTTCCTGAAAGAAAATTGTAATTGCAATTTCAATGGCATGTTTATCTGCTCCACTGCTGTTCTGTGTAAAAAGAAGCAAGCCTCAGCTTATCGTGCCATCAACCTCCACACCTCATCAACAAAAACCGCTTTCCGATCTCGATGATCAAGGCAGCATTCGAGTTCATATTCCAGTTTTGATGTTTTACAGGAACAGTGTTGAAAGGAGAGGGGAAGAAGATCCAGCAATGGCTATCAAAGAAGGGTTAGCTAAAGCACTTGTTTTCTACTATCCCTTGGCAGGTAGGATTTTTGAAGGGGAGAATGGGAAACTTATAGTGAATTGCAATGGGAAAGGGGTTTTGTTTGTTGAAGCAAAAGCCAATGTTAAGGTTGAGCAGCTAAGTGATAAATCCATGCATCCACCATGTCCATACTTGAACCAACTCCTCATCAACACTGTGCCTGGCTCCAAAGGGATCATTGATTGCCCTCTTCTACTTATCCAAGTAAGATAATTAATAGAGAGCTATTTGTTTATTTTCTCTTCAATTAATTACTTCATGATTTAATACTTTACTTTAATTTAGCAGTCACCTTCTCGAGACTAGCTAGCTCCATTTTGTTGAGACATGCAAATGTATTGTGATGTAGGTAACCCGTTTTAGTTGTGGTGGCTTTGCATTGGGAATTCGGTTCAACCATACTATGATGGATGGCCAAGGGTTGATTCAGTTTGTAAATGCAGTGAGTGAACTTGCAAAGGGTGCTTCTGCTCCTTCAACACTTCCGATTTGGGAGAGAGGCCTCTTAACTGCAAGGCCAACCCCAACCATCACCTGCGAACACAACGAGTTCAAGGATTTCGAGTTGTCCAAGACTACAAGGTGGTGGGACTTGGAAAAATTGTTGCGTACAAACAAATTCATCAACATACAAAAGGTAATGAGTGACCCGTGTTTGTTTTTTAGCAAACATATATGCCACTCCCTCGTGATCAAACGCTCATTCACTTTTGGGTCAAGAGAGTTGCAAGCTATCAAGGACCAATGCCCCTCAAGTACCACATTCGAGGCACTTTCTGCGTGCTTATGGAAATGTCGTACCATTGCTCTCCGACCAGACCCTAATTCAACCATGCTATTGACCATTGTTGTCAATATTCGAGAAAGATTGCAGGACCCCAAACGCCCCTTGGATACTACGGTAATGCCGTCGTGTCGGCAGCCGCGGTAACCACAGCCAAGTTGTTGTGTTCAAATCCGATATCATACGCGGCCAAGTTGATTAGGGAGGCTAAAAATACTGTTAACGACGATTATGTTAAATCGATTATAGATCTTATGGTGACTAAGGGCAGACCAAGGGGGGCTATACTAAGGAACTTCTTAATAACAGACAATTCAAGATTTGGATATGACGAGGTGGATTTTGGATGGGGTAAGCCTGTATGTGGTGGTGTTTATGGTGTTGTTTATGGAGTTGGGTTCTTGGTACCTCATAAAAGGATGGAAGACACAAAGGGTAAACTGGTGGCATTAGCTTTGCCTCCAATAATTATGGGAAAATTTCAAAATGAGCTTAGGAAGATGACTCGACCAAAAAAGTGATTTTTCCTATATCTATATATGTAATGAGAGGCTAGGGAGTAAACATGACGTCTCCTATTTCCATCTAAATTGTTTGTTTGGATCTTTTGCTTTGATGTTGTACTTTCAATATTTTGAACACACTAGCTAGTAATTTTCTATTTTAAAAAGAATAAATTTCAAATTCTGTTCCTAATGTCTTGTTAATAATTATAATCAATGGTTTTTTAAATTGTTAATTTAGTACATCAAATATTTATTTTTTGTCAATTTTAGTCACTCAAATCAAATCTCATTGGAAAATTTTAATTAGCCAATTAATCGGAGCAATTCCATCTTTGTATATATGTGTGGACACTTCATCATCATCAACAAAAAACACAGTCAAATTTAAGAAACCAGAACTCAAACTTAAAGAGCACGATCAAACTTTGGAATGACAAGTGGTTACCGGACAAAGCTAACCCCAAAGTAATCTCTTATCCTTTTCCACTTATGCATAATGCAGTTGTGGCAGATCTTATGAAACCAAATGTGGCTAACTGGGATGAGGAGGTCATTAGAGACATGTTTGTGCAGCGTGACGCTGATCTCATTATGCAGATCCCATTAGCTAGACACCGAAGTGAAGACAAAATAATTTGGGCCCTGGAAGAGAATGGCAACTTTACGGTTAAGAGCTGTTACAAGGCGTTAAGGGGTGAGCTAGACCCAAATGACATTCAGGGTTGGACAGCGTTTTGGAAGTTAAAAATCCCCCCCAAAGTGAAGATATTTTTTTGGCAAGCATGCACAAACTCCCTACCAACAAAGGATCTTTTGAGGAGAAGGAAAATTGAATGTGAAGAAGTATGCACTCTCTGTAATGTGGAAAATGAATCTATCAATCATATCTTCCTGGAGTGTAGTTATGCTAACAATTGTTGGGGCCTATTGGGAGAGCAAAGGATAAGTTCAGATTTATGTTCTTTCACTGAGTGGGCGAACCAGAAGTTGCAGTTGACAGACTTGGAGAAGTGCTGCTCATTGATAATGGTGTGCTGGGAGATCTGGCAGCAAAGAAACAATAAAATTTGGCAGAACAAGGCAGTCACACCTCCTTCATTTACGGTCAGAGCAGCAGAAAGCTTTCTAAGCGGTTGGCGGGCAGCTTCGGAGACTTGTCAACGGAATGGATCCAGCAGCTTAGAAAACAAGTGCAAATGGTCTAAACCCCACACAGGCTTCTCCAAACTAAACGTTGATGCGGCGATTAATACGCAAAATGGGAGAATGGGGTTTGGATACGTCTTGAGAGATGACAAGGGTGTTCCTTGGAATGGAACATTCACACCAAGGGAAGCGGAAGCTGTAGCAGTTAGGGAAGCACTCAGTTGGATCAAAGAGCTCAACTATGACAATGTTCAGATTGAGACTGATTCACTTCTGGTGGTACAGGGACTAATTGCAGTAGAAGGAGGGTCCTACTTTCACCTTCTTATGAGTGATATAAAAAGCTCATTATGTGATTTCACTAATGTGTCTTTAGGCTTTATCAAACGATCAGCGAATCAGGCAGCTCATGTACTAGCTAGGTCGTCTGTTTCTTTGACTGATTATAGGGTGTGGTTTGACAACCCCCCATCTATCCTTTGTAATGCTTTGTCTTCGGACTTGATTTAATTTATGAATGTTTGTTTGTTTCAAAAAAAAAAAAAAAAACGTTTGAAACTAAAGCGACCAAACTGTCACAAATCAGTTCAGGAGTTGCACTTAATTCCTTGCTTCTTTATTTTCTGGTTTGGGAATAAATCCGAATCCTGATTAGGCGCGAGGCACGTTTCTTCCTTGGTCAGTCCTATCATTTTATAGATTTGAGGTAAAATAAAAACAAAGTCTCTTCATAAAAAGATTGTATTATGGGTTAATTATTGAAAATAATTATATGATAATTTTGAATTTTTTTGAATATATAATTTTTATTATTATTAAAAACACATTTTATATATAATAGTTTTTGAATAGTGCTCATTCAAATTTTGTGCCTCTATATAAAGTGTAATTATAAATTAATTCAATGTTTGTTAATATATATACCTATTAACTGAGATAAGTATATCAAATGATTGTAATTGTTAAGTACTGATGTAGTAAATCTACTATTGTGTTCATTTTTCGTATGCATATATATATGTAATGTAATGTATAAAAGACGATGATGATGAACTGATTAAAGTATACTGAAAGAGAGAAATTAGCATAAGGTTTCTCTATTATTGAATCTATAGAGAGGGAGAGAGTTAAGAGAGAGAATTAAGAAAGAGTCCAGCAAGGGGAAAAAGCGAATTGAAGCATGTGCTCCATCTTAACTAAAAGCCTAAACTGATAGTTGAATTGCACATTTATGTTTATATATATTATGCTCAAGAACAAATTATGTCGTGCAAGCGTTGCAAAAATGACGTCGTTTTGATTAAAAACGACGCATCCAACTTTAAAAAAATAGTTTTGATTGCCGTTAACGGCATTATGTTGTGCATAATTTGAACTATATATCCAGAATTAATGAACTATTTATCCAGAATGAACTATATATCCTGAATGAATGAACTATATATCCAAAATGAATGAACTATATATCCAGAATGAATGAACTATATATCCAAAATGAATGAACTATATATCCAGAATGAATGAACTATATAGTTCAAATTATGCACAACATAACGCTGTTAACGGCAATCGAAACTGATTTTTTTTAAAAAAAATATGACGTCAAAACGACGTCGTTTTTGCAACCGTGTGCACCATGCACAGCATAACGCTCCATGCTCAACACGCCTCCTCACATGTGCGGGTCTATTACTTTTGATGGGCTCCAAACTACATTCGAATTCATAACTTTTGGCATGGCTTTGATACCAAATTAAAACATGTGTTCCATCTCAATTAAAAGGCTAAACTAATAGTTAAATTACACATTATATATGTTTATATATATTATATGCTCGACAAAGAGTAGGGCTAGGGCCCCTTAACCATCAAATCAAATATCAATGTTAAAAGTTGTATGCCCGGCAGCTTAAATGGTCATAGAGGTGAAGTTCAGAAAGAATGATCAGGGATAGAGTCTCACCAGTCACAGTGTGAGAGCAAAACTTCTCAAAGTGAGGAGAACTCCTTGTGCACAGTAAACAAGTTATCATGATTTACAGCTTTCCAGATGTCCTATCGGACTGGAATGTGGGGGCCCCTTGGGGTTGGGTTCAACCTTCTCATTATGTGTGGGGTTGGAATGTTAAAAGTTGTATAATGTATTAATGTTTGGTAATGAAGTTATGACTTTGACTAAAGATAACTTCTACGTTCCTCTATCTCTTTTGAGATTCTCAACACTTCGTTTAGATTAACATTATTATTAAACCAAACACGTGTGTCCACGTTGCAATAATTTATTCCACATTTAATCAGCTACCATGCTTAGGGAATCCACACTAGTGGATAATATGGGGTTAATATAAGAAGAAATAACTTGGATGGGGTTATTTACAAATGTGGAGTGGGGTTAATATAGAGTTTTTTTTTTGAAAGTTACTGGCTCTATTACATTGTAGTATCTGTTCATATACTTTCTCAACCTACTGAAACACAAAGAACCAATAACGCCTCCACTGAGGCTCGAACTTATAATCTTCCAAATGGAAGTCCAACCCGGATACCATTAGACCACATAGTCCTAGTGGTTAATATAGAGTTATTTCTCCTGCAAATGATAAAATATTTCTCTTCTCAAGGGAAGAGAAATATCAGGAAAGATAAGCTGCTGTGCGCGTTTCGCGCACAGCAGCCAGCCACATGGGCACGTCAGGCGCGCCTAACCATGTTTTTTTTTTCTTTTATTTTTAAATTTGTTTTGTTTTGTTTTGTTTTTTTTTTTCTCCCCTTCCCACATTCTCTTTCCTAATCACTCTTGATACTGCTTATTCTACGTAAGCAATATAAAATAACACGAGACCAATTAAAGCAAGTAAAATCTTTATTGATCCCGGTAAAGGCCCTAAGTACAATCTACTTGGCTGCTCTGAGTACCGACTGAGTACGGTCGGGATTCTCTAACAACAACCTATCGATCGTCCAAAAGTCCCTTACACTGTAGCTACTGTGGGTATTTATAGCTGCTAGGCCGGGGACAGGATTCCAGCCGTCCGGCATGTCCTCCACGTAGCCACCACGTGTCATCCTCCCGGGTGCCCTGCCTGTCGATGTAAAGAGCCGCCACGTGTCCTTCGTCAGCTCTTTCGCCCAAGGGCTACCGCTCGGTGGTCGACACCGTCGCTCGGGCAACTCCGGTCGGTCTACGACCGGGTTCTTCTCGTGGAGCCCGACCTGTTACCTGCAAAGACAAGGAGAAAGAGACAAAGACTCCTCGGTCGTGGTGAAGCTATGTCGGTCGGGATATTCCCTACCAAGAGCCCCCCAGCCCGGGCCTTTTTGATCAGTCGGGAAAAAACGGGACGGGATGAAGAAGCCCAACCGTCAGGCATTAGACCGACCGGCCAGCTGTCATTCCCTCCTACGCCACGTGTCGGCCTCTGCCGGCCTCGGCGATCCCATCCGTCGCCTCGGATTCAGCGCGGGTCGTGTCAGGCAAGTTGGCCCATTTCCCGCCTAAATGCCCTCCTATAAATAGGCCCTTGAGGCCCTCATTTGAACTTTCCTCACTCTCTTGCTTCAGTCGGTATCCTCTAAGAATCCCGAGCAGAGCATCTCAGCAAGGCGATCGAGCAAAGCAAAACTTCAGATCTTCTTCAAAGTTTCCTCACTCGGTAAGCTCTTAGTTCTTTACTCT